GCTTGTAATGCGACTCGCAACATCTTTTACGCTCTTTGTCTTTCTTCTTCTCTGCTTAAGTCTGATAAGGTATCTCCTTAAGCAATTTATTTGGGGTAATTGAAATTTGTTTTTTGATCTCTATAATCGAGGCTAAATTCTTGGTTTTGCCTGTCTAAACGTAATAGATGACAATATACCGTATCTAAGTAAACTTTTTGTATCACCCTGTATGTTTTCGAATACCCGAAAAACTATTTTGTAAATTGACAACTTAAAAGTTTTAGAATTTCATATTGCAATTTACATACTTTTACATTTACATAATTTCGTACCATTTGGACAGTGTACTTATTATAGGCGTAAATAAATTATGTGATCAATCACTTAATTGAATTTATTGTATATATCAGAGAAATAAAATGTTTATTAGAAAAAAATATGTTTATTATTTTGTTTGTACGAGTAGAAGAGTAATTACTGACTAGTAAATACATGTTTTTATTATTTTTAAACATACCGGAAAACTTTTTTATCTCACTATAGAATTTTAAAGATTGTTTATACTGTTTAGAAATAAATTAGTACAATCTTTGTTTTTGACGAAATTAATATAATAGTCCTAAGATAACTTTTGCTATTCAATTTTGTACTCAAGGTAAGTAAATGTTTTCTCCTAATAACTAAACCTTTTCAAATTGTGAATTGAATGCGGTGTTTTTTTTTTTATTAATTTTAATTTTTCATCTTATTTACTTGCTCGGCATACTGTTTAAAATTTTGTACAGTCGCAAAGTCCATCTATTACACAGGTAGACAGAAGCATCTTAACAATGCTCATTTGCCTATATAATTTTTATATAAAATCCAATGTTCAACCTATTATTTTTTGTACAGTTCGGGCGCCAGATGGAATTACAGTTCGCCTAGTGCCTGGTAGACGAAGTAAGTATATCAACATCATCCACTAAACTGCATCGGGTGGAAAGAGACTTTAGACCGAAAAATCAGACTATGTTATTGGACACAGTATTAAGTAACATGTGCCATACGACGGGTACTACCTTAACTCTTTGTTCGTCATGACATTTGTGTACCTTATCCGCTGTACATCGTACACGTTATTGGCACGGTTGACGGACCGCCATGAAGTGTCCATTTTAACTAGTCATCGCTAATATAACTGATTACAAAATGAGCTCCAAAACAAACAACCTTAAAACACAGGACGATTATGTGCATTTAGTATTAATTGGCAATGAATTGGTATATAACAAATAATAAAATTCAAAATTTTCATTTCAGAAATTGTTCGATCGTGGGTTTTATGAGGCAGTACCACCATGTCTCTTTGATAGACGTAGATTTAATTCTATCTTAAGTGCAGTAGTACAAAATATAGTAAACAAGCTGTGATATTCGCATTTGGTAATTGAAGTCTGATTTTTAATAGTCGAACAAAGTTTTTTTTTTCATTTATCACATTCCAAAAACTGTTTACTTATGATTTTTTTGGTTATTTTTTCTTTACCTATTCTCAGTGAGTGCTCTGTCGTGCCAAATGCGAATAACTGAACGTTATTTACATTAACACTGCTGCACTTAGGTGGATAGGTAAGATTTAAATATATGAAATATGCATGTACTTCTACACAACTATGACTCAATCAGATCACCCTAAAACTGATAACATAAACAATTTATTATTAATAAAAATATTTGTGATACGAAATGGAACTAAGTTACCATTACTACGCTCTTTCATGGAGCAATTTCAAAATGTAATTAAACTTTAAATATCTTCCCTATTTCATATTATTTTATTGCGACAAGCTCTTAACAGGGTGTATTAACTGAACTTACGGAATTTTATATAAGTCCACATGTAGTACTTGAGTACTTTCGATTTATATTGCCACAATTTTATTGTCATTGTCTGTTTTCAATCACATTGTAAATACACTGTACATGGAAGTTCTTTGTTATCTGGTCATCCAAATTGAGTTGCTGAATTTAATATTTTAAACAAGGGCAAATATTAGAATAATTACAAATCCTACTTAAAATACAATCAGTAAATATTTATTATACATATACATACAGCTTCTTTATTTGGTTTATTTATATACACAAGTATTTATGACAATAAATATTTTTATCAACTCATAATATACAAAGCTTTTTGTGCATGAGTTTATACTGAATAGAAATACCTAGATGGAGATTTACTTTTATATTTGATAATACATTCATATCATCATTACAAGCAATTTAGGATCAAAATCATTACACTATTTCATTATAGCTAAGTACTTTTGTACAAGTTGTGGGACAATTTATGAAGTAGTAAACTACTATCTACTTCTAGGGCCATTGTACTTAGTTTTATCGTTAGTTCACAACATTTCATTTATGTAACTATCTAAAAGTGTTTTTTTTTTAAACGGACTATACTATGAAGTTATAAAGCAGTCAAAAATGAAACAATCCTGTGATTTCTAGTCGAAGCTCCGAACTTCAATGTTATTGTGTTTTATTATTAATAAATTTATTATTAATAATATTTTAAGCATTTTTCGCTATATAAAATTATAGGAATAATTATTGTGCTCACATTATATACCTACTAATTGAATACATAATTATATATTCATTACTATACTGTACATGAAAATGTGTCCCTAGATAAATATAAAAAGGTAAACATTTTGAAATTTAGTACAGGTAGGTACATACATTCTATTCACATGATGCATATAGTCTAAAAGTTTAGGTTTATTACAGTTATCTGAATATTTAAACGAGAAAATTAAAGACGCAACATTTATTAGTATAGTTAATATTAAAGAATCCATGTTAGGCTACATAACAATAAATAGTTGTACGTTGGTACGAACTACGCCATACCCTACCAGAATGAACAGGTCTTGTTAAACCGTATTTTGCTATGGCTACAAATAACACCGTGTACTAGCTTACGCAGGAAATGTGTAACAGTCGCTGTGGTCATGCGTATATACACATATGTAGCTGTAACGTCCATGCATAATTAACAATAACGTGATTTTATACCAAGATACTTTGTGCCTAAAAATCAATGTTTGTTTTATGTTTATATTCATACATTGAGATCCCGTTAGAACTATAAATTATAGGCTAGGACAAATACATAAATTAAGTTTTATCACATCACAACACAAGATGTGACTATCAGTAATTTTCTTTCGTATAAATATTGCTTACTTATATTTTTTTGTCTCTGAAATCTTAATTATTGGTTAAGAGATCGTTGTGCGTGATATTAAAAGTTGATAAGGCACTTATTGCAGCGACTGCACAGCTGGCATACTCTGGACTGGAGTAAATATGCAGATTCCATAATTGATTATGCAATGTTTTTTTTAATGTAATTTATATTAGGTTTATCAATTCGTGGATATCTACTATTCTTGCGGTAATATCTTAACAACCTTAAAACAACTGTACATAGCATTAATAGAAATTGAAAGAAGCTATGCCAGCAATTTATAGAAAATATAGGATTTTTTGTCGCAACGTGATTCACGCATGACTGTTGAGGAAATTGAAAATGTTACATGCATAATGGTGCAGGCACCAGAACAGTAGTGTTATAATTTAGATCTTTTAGTGCCTAACAGTGTACTGTACATTCAACAGCACATCAAGCTTACACTTTCGTTCGAGTGCAACTATCATTATTATTATATTATTTCACTGTAGCTTGATGTGTAGCTGACAGCGTCAGGGAGTCTACTCTCAAACAAGCAATACTTGACCAAATTAAAAGACGCGTGATGCGAATGAAGCTTCATACTGGATACTTGTCTTTTAAGTTTGTCGAATATTACTTATTTGACAGTAATTGTTTCGGACGGAGGTTGAGAGTAGCCCCCCTGTACCCACATTGTTTAGTCTGTACAAAGTAGACTAAATAAATTTACACTCCCCAACACATAATTCGAGCCACTTTGAATTTTTATTCTTGAAGGGCTAGAACGCCGATTACAAAACAATTTTGTATTCTAAAAAATATTGGTATCATCAAAGAAAAAGTTTTCTCCGGTTATATAGATTCAAATTTTCAACAAGGAATAGAAATACGTGTTTCAAAATTGCATAATAATTTTTGATCAATTAAATATTGTTAAGTTTAGGGCATTTAATACTGTAAATGCAAGGTGGCTCAAATTCAGGTTGGAGAGAGTATTTATGCAGTGACATATCTATGTATGATAAGTTACTGTTACGTTTACAACTACTTCGGCAGTACCTCCATCAAAAAAATTTTATTACAGAAAGAAAATTTAACTAAGCAAAAAAAATTTAATATTATAAATCAACTCTATGTTTCCTTCCATTTCTGTGCTAAGTATATTTAATTACTTTGTGGGTAAACAAATATATCTAATTCAATCTCAAAAATTATTATTTGCATAGATTGTGCATTATGTTTATAAAACATTATTAGGTGCTTTACTTTGTAGTTTCTTATGTAGGTACTATTTTTCTTTAATCGGCACATTTTATCGAAATAAACTTGTTATGGAAACTTGTTTATTCATGTTTTTATTTCCCTTCTCATAAAAGTATTTTATAAACGCAAATACCAAACTCAAATCTCGAAAATCATTATTTGCAAAGATTCTACATTATGTGTTAACTAATGTTTATAAAACATTATTAGGTGCTTTACTTTATAGTTTCTCGTGTACTATTTTTCTTTAATCGGCACATTTTATTGAAATAAACTTGTTATGGAAACTTGTTTATTCATTTGCTTTTATTTCCTCTCTCATAAAAGTATTTTATAAATGCTCACAAAAATATATTATAAAATAAAAGTGTAATAAAACCTGGCATAAAATAAACTTTTATAATGTTCATAATCCTCATGTAACTAAAACTATGTTTTCATGCTAATCATCAAATTTTCTTTTTTTATTGATCTTCACAACACAGTTTGTTATGAAAGAACACAACAAAGAAGTCGCCATTTGGAACGGTTTATGATTTTTCTTTATCTGAACTAAGGAGTGACTAATTTTTAAATATAGCGACTAATGCAGACTAATTCACAACTTTTTCTCTGTGCAATCAGTTCTAAATTAGGGACTATGGTTGTCGAGATAAAAAATGGTGCCACTGGAATTAGTTTATTTCAGCATAGCCAGTAAATAATGTGTTATAAATCCAAAACGGCATAACAATTTAATCTAGTTTTTCAAGACTAGAACTGACCAAGTCACGATTTTTTTAGCGCAATTAGTTCTAAGGGGCACTTTGAAGAATAGGTGAGCATGTTTGAAAGCAATTTATTTAAGGATATGCTATTAAGGTACATTTTATTAATTTAACTAACTTGCAATGGAAGAATTATTTACATAAGACACAATATATTCTGGCAATAACAAATGAAGATTCTAAATAGCAGTACCACGCTCTAAATTCTGTTTAATTTCAGCTGTATGCTCTCCATAGAACCGTTCCAACTTCTTGTTAAATTTAGCATTCCTTTCATTAATGTAGTCAATATCAGCATCATCATTATGAGTGCGTCTTCTTGAGTACTTGGCCCGTTTAGCAATCTGCCCTTCAATGTCATCCACCATACGGTCTATAGCATCTTTCCTGTCCACATGCATACCATGAATAATAACGTTCGGCCCACCATAGAACGCGTCTCCATACTTTTCCTTTTGTTTTTGGTATTGTTCCATATCAGCTGCAGGCATATTCTTTACAAGTCTGTTATACTGCCTTATTGTGGCCTGTTCGTATGTGGAAAAACCTTGGTCTGGATTCTTTTTTTTCTTTTTGCGTTCCAATCTCTCCGCTTCGATAGCTGATATGTTGAGAAGCTTCACTCTGTCATAATTTTTACCTTCCTTTTCTACCTCTTCCCGTTTCTGCTGATCTTCTAATAACCACTCTGCCTGCCGCCGTTTGGCCTCATAGTTCGCTGGAAGCTTGTTCCTCGCCTCTTCGGCTACAACTTCTTGGTGATTGTGCGTTCTGGCCTCGTTTCTAGCCGAATGCAAGGAACGCAATCTTTTCATGCGTTCTGCTTGCTTTTCGGCAAAAGACATGTCTTTTGAGGATGATGTTGATGGAGCTTTGACGTCTGTTGTACTCATTTTATAATAGCAAATCGTTAAAGAACTATTGAAGCAGTTAAATTAAAGTTAAATGGTAGACCACAAAATTGTCAACACTTTGACAAAAACTTGAGTGATTGATAGATATGTATGTATATATACTTGACATTGACAATCAGCGTTGCCAATGCCAATTGTTCAAAATCACGGTTAAAATCCCCAAATTTGGGGAGAGCAAAGTACATACTCCCCACATCTTGAGTTTTCATTATTTATTACAAATACATCGCTATAAAATATAATAAGAATTTAGAAACTCAAAATGGAACCATCTATTACGTTTGATGCGAATGTAAACAGAATGCAAAATCTAAAGCAAATTATAAGATCAGATGATCTTTAATCGTTTATTTATTTAAATGGGATTCAACATTAATCAGTATTTGAAAAAAAAAAGAAACGTTCTTTGCCTTACAAAATGAAGTAAGTAACTAAATTATTTGTTGTGCATTTAATGACACTATGTTAATGTTACAAATAATCAATGAATAAATTATGTTTCGACCTATATTTAAAACTTAAAGTTGACTAGTGATAGTGTGGAAGAACCAACTGCTCGGCTTTGTTTATCAATAGCTGATTTCGTTTTTTCTCATATTGGGGACCGGCGACCATAAACGGGAGAAAGGATCGCGAACTTAACACGCACCGACTGGTAATTTTACAATTCAGAACCAAGTGCTCTGATAACAATTCTATTTAAGCTGCTTGTTAATAATGCGAGGGATATGCGATGTTGAAAAACACATCGATATAATACACTACAGTGTTTTTAACGGTAACGATCAAACTAGCGATGCATCAACAATCGATAGATTAAACAAAATGATAAAATGTTAGAATCCCCACATTTTCCCCACATAGAGCCAATCCCCACAAAATCCCCAATCTAATTGAAATTCGTTGAAATTCCCCGCACTTTGGAGAATTCCCCACAAATTGGCAACGCAAGTGGAATAGAATGAACGATTTCGCTATAAGAAAACAAAAATAAAATTTAATCATTGAACGCGCAGGCGCAGCCGCTAGTCCGCATTTCAGTTCAAAAACAGTATCGTGTGAATAAAAATAGTGGTACTTATGTTAGAGAATAATGCGAATGTATTTTACACTTTGATTTGAACGCATTCGAATGTTAACCATTAGGTACAGGGTCAAGAGCACGTCAAGCTTGACACTTAAGACTTAAATCCAACGCTATGCCGCTTACGACAAGAACGGTCCAAAGTACAAAGTGTTAAGCTTGATGTGCTCTTGACTGTACATTGGCCTAGGTCAATGATTAGGTACAAAAAAATTAATTCATTTATTGGTAACACTGAAAATAATTATTCGTTCACAAAAATTGCTTCAACATGTTGTCTTTGTTAAGGTGGATTCACAATGTACGTACAAATTCAGGCAATATAGTGCCTAAGCATTGTGATGATTGTGAATCCATCTTTACGCCAGTGAAAATTTAAAGGTCTAATTTTAAAAGACTAGCCTAGTCTCTTAGAGGATGGAAAAAAATAAAAGTTTCCATAGTCTAAGCCTAGTCTTTGCTTAGGTGTATTCCATAGAGTCAAGTGAGTGAGATGAATGAATGGTTTTGAACATATGACTAATTGAACCGAAGTGTGAAGTGAGTGAGCCAGACAGTCTTTCGGTGTTTTGGAAAAGTGACGGTTGTGTGAAATTGTGTGCTGTCTATTTTTTGTATCAAATTCAGTGTTTTTGGAGTTCACGATGTCGGATGAAATTGCGGAGAATGGTACGGTGAACGGGGATGTGCCGGAGATCGAACTGATCATAAAGGTAACTTTGGTGTTTACTCGCCTTTAAATGATGTTAACGAGACAGTCTGCGGCACGCGTAGCTTACTCGGCCTTCGCAGATTTTGTGAAGAGGTGGCATCTTGCATGTAGTTCTCATGGTGCAAGTAATTGTTGCTCATCATGTTTGATTGATTTTCTGTAACCTGTTGCTTTCGAAAGCAGTACGGTTGACCGGGAAATGCGTCATATTAGTGAGCATATCGTATGCATGCATGAAAGTATATTATTACCGAGTGCACTCATACTGCACGATATGTAGGCCATTGTAACTTTGTTTTGTTTTCCTGGTGTATTTCGCGCGTTTTATCTGGCGTTCTGTGGGAAAATTTCGTAATGGTTGTATGGATGACGTCATTTGAATAGCTCTTTTAGTGTTCTTATCTTGGTAACCGTTGCCATATCTCCACGTATTTCCTTTAAAATTTAACCGTATTATCATCTACCACGTTACGATCGATAGCTTAGTAATAATATAATTAGTGACTTCGATATTGTATTGGAATTCTATCAACTTATTAAATTTTGAAATTGCTTTTATGATAATATTATCAATGAGTTTGTGTAAATTGGTTATTGATAAGACCGCATTTATGTTTTCTAAATAATTAGGAACTTCCAATTTAAAGTAATTTAACCATTATTTCTACATTACCTAAAACATAGTTCTAAATTGCTTATTGTAATTGTAAATTCTTTAGAGCAAAATGAAATAAACTATAGTATAAGAAAATCTCATCATAGTCGGAAAGCAGTAAGAAAGAACTATGAAGAGTTAAATAATAGAGCTCTTACAATGTAAATCAATCTCTTCAAGAAATACCAAAGTTACATTTTCTAACAAAATTTTGCGCAATTCTCTTCAGCACTCCTAAGATAATAGTACGCTCTGTGTGTGGAATAATTATGAGTACATTCATTATGGCGACAAAGGCCATGAATAATTTTTAAATAATGTGTAAGTTTGGAAGTGGGCTTTGCCAGTTTGTGTGTAAATGTTACTTATTAGGCATTACATACATTATTATAAATAAATAAATAAAGATAGCCTTTACTTCTAAATTAATTCTAAGTCTAACCTTGCTTACTTCTAACAGTAAGAATTCTTAGTTCTAACATCAGCATTGGTTCTGGTTCAGAGGACTACCTGATTAGAGCTAGAACATCGGTTCTGGTACATATAGTACAACATTTATATGATCCTAATAATGTATGTCAGCATTGGCTGACAGCACCATTTAAACGTTTTCTATGACAAATTGCTTGTGTAATTGAAATATAAATGTAATAAACTGATTAATTGTAAAATCAAGGCATTTACTCTCTCCCTCTACTGATTTCCACATTATTAAAATGTTCATATATGCTTTTTACTTATCAATGTGTTATGTTATTATTAAAATCATTAGCAAGTAAAGTAAAATACATACAAAAAATGTGCATTTGAGAAAAATTAGGTGTTTTTCCATTATTAAGTTCAAAGCTTATTAAGACTACAAAAGTGCATCCAAAATATATCCAGCAAATAAAAAAGTTTTCAATGTCAATTAAATAGTGCCTAATAAAAGTTCTCCACCTACAAGGCGTAGCGAGACGAGAATAGAAATCTCGCCGGCCTATTTTCACCAAAAATTGTCAGTAATAGCTCGCGCGAGCCATCGCGATCTCACGCGAGGCATCGCGGTCTCTTGCGAGCTCGCGTTGTGATTGTGGATAGTGAAGATTCAGTGCTATTGAATTCATCTAGCTATTAATACGCGGCTAAAGTAATACGTCCCGTAAATTATTATTATTATTATTATTAAATATACAAACCATCTTTTTTAAAATCGCACGTACTCCACAATCTTTAATTGATATTGATATCCTTCGCGATTACCGAGACCGAAGAGAGACCGTGCTGGCACTTGCGAAATCGCGCGAGAAGTCGTGTTTCCGTTAAAGAGTCGATACTACCTCAACTCGAATTCAATTTTTTTTCCGTACTTTATACCGTTCATTTTGCTGGGTCGAGCGGCAGCGACACCTTAATTTCAGATTTTTTTAAAAACGACAAACGAAATTAAAGATATTTGAAAAATGTATATTGTATAGTATACGTGTTCTATTTAATTCAGTTGGAATAAAAAAATAAATCTTTGATATATGTAAACTATTGAATACAGCTGTTTTCTTGTAAAATTTCGGGGTATTTTTTTTCTATCGTGATAATTTTTAGGAATCGAGTTTTCACTCCGTATAGTGTCAATGTATATCCTCAATTTTACTGTTTTATGTATATTTTTTCCAAAGTGATTGATTGAACACTTTCACCGTTATGCGGAATCAACCAAAGCCATTTGAGGTCGTATAGACTCTTAAAGAGTCTAGTATTGTATGTAGCCTACAATACGGTTCAATATTACATCAACAAATATTTCGATTCTCGCCTCGCTCAGCCTTGACGAGGCTTGATCCAGACCATTTATACCGATGGTCTATGAGAGAATTGAAATTTTGTCATACAAATTTCAATCTTTCTCTCGCCTCGCCTCGTCTCGCCTCGCCTCCTCTCGCCTCGCCGGTGGAAACCCATCTTTAAAGTCTTAACTTTCAGAAGTATATAAGCACTTGTAGTTCTGTAAATCAATCAAATGTAACATTAACAAGATTTCATTAAATTATATTATTCATAAACATCATCATCGTCAATCAATTGTGTTTCACTGTCGGGCCGACCACGGATTTTTTCCTAAGGATATATTTAGGGCATAGTCCACCCTACTGGCTCAATGTAAGATTTTGAGAACTCAAGCTTTTTCGACGTGTAAGTTTCATGATGATCTTTTGCTTCACCATTAGCATCTGTTATTGCTACTAAACATTCAGTGCTAATATAGAGCTAATTATATCCATTTTAATCTAATATTGAAATATTTTAATGACATCAGCTCACTAAATATTTATCTGATATAACAATTATTGATAGGAAATGAAACTATTTTTCCGGATTTAAATCGCGTATATTTGTTTTTTCAAATAAACCGACGTTTCGGGCCCTTTACAAGTCCCATGGTCACGGTTGACTGGGACCCGAAAAATAGTTTCATTTCCTATGTGTAACAATCGCGATAACCTAAGAACTCGATAACAATTATTATTAAATGTAGGTATTTACCAATATATGTACACTTATTTAAAAAAAGTGAGTATTTTTAGAATGCCAATACTAGGATCCTTCATTATAATAAAAGATAATATCGATGTACAAATGTACATAGATGGTGATGTCTCTTTTGTTTCAAATGTTGTTAATTAAAAATTCTAAACACTATAGTGTTCAACAGAAGAAAAAATTATAACTATTTTCTTTATAATATTATACCATATTGTTAAAGTCAGGATATTTATTTTAAACAATTTTGTACACTTACAAATCTTTATTCACAATTATAATAAGAAACACGTACTGGAGTTAAGCCAATATGTAAACCACAGCTTCTGTTTATTTTCACAGCTATTTCTTACGTAGAAAGTGGAGCTTGTCAATGTCATTGCCAGGTTTCCTTTGGCTGTAATTTTGTATCATAAAAGTAACTCTGCTGCCTTGGTATATACTTTTTAGATGAATCTTTGGATACTTGTAACATAATATATGCAATTTGTGTCCATAGTAATTTTAATGGAATAAGCTCCAGAACTAGACATGTGAGCCGCACCGCCTCTGATGGAACTTGACCGACGTAAATCGGTGCGGTTATAATTTATTTTATTCTATTGAAGTATGAGCTTTATAATAATTATTTATTTTCGTACACTGAAAGTGAATTACGAAACGTCTACGTACATCCTATTCTTGCTAGATTTTAAATTGCATGTTTTTTAAATGATCATTTTAAATTTGCAAAAGCAGTGCAGCAAGCAAATAAATCTAACCGGTCATCTTTTTTTAATGATTGGATACTCTTTCTCTGAGACATAAAATATATTGAATCAATGGATATTTTAATATGTTTTTTCTACGCAAAAAATGTTTGATATATATAAATTAACTTTGATAGCTTTATGTTGAACCTCAAAACTAAGACAAATGAGCATTAAAAATAAAATTTGAATACTTAATTTTAAAATTAAGTAATGGTTGATTATATTTGTACAATAATGTAATATTGTATGAATAATATGTATATCAAAAATAAAAAAAATGTCGTTTATTTAAAATAAGCGCACATTTGCCGTAGACCATTATATCTTATGTTATATTATATATGTTTTTCTCGATGTATCTATTCTATATCTTTGAGGATCAAATAAATAAGAGCGTAAATTTTTATGAGATTGTTTTATTACAAACATCCTTTCTTGATAATTTTAGTAACAGTATACCTACATTCCCGAAAAAAGTAAAAGGCCCAACATGTTGGTTAGATTGAAAAAAATAAGTATGTTCTTCTACGCGATTTATATCCGAAAAAGTCTCATTTCTAAAGTTTTAGTCTATTTTTAACATCTGAAAAATATATGTATGTCACGCCGTTTTCACGCCTCTGCCGACGATTTTACGATCAGCCACATTTCTAATATGTATTTATATATATTTTTTTCAATCTAAAATATTTTTGTAACATCTTTATTTAAAATATATTCTTTCATGTATATAAACTTTTATCGATATTAATATATTTAATACTTTTGCAGTCTGTAATGATTATTGAAGTTCAAATGAGTATTTTTAAGTAATACATAGTATAGCTATCCCAATTATAATAAAATTTGAAATAGTATGTAATTTAGTCATAATATAATTCCGTCGCTAAATATATACAAACGAAAAATACCTTACAAATATTCTCCTTAATTAACGCGAACGCGACGCGACACACCTGCTAAGAAATATGTAGAAATATTTTTAAAACATACACGATTGCTGACATTGAAGGCTTTTAACAAGATGTTCTGGCTAAATGTTAGAGGGCAATGTAACAAAGGACATTAAAAAATACA